CCTGGACTAGTCCTGAGCATGTGTCCCTCTGTGTATATTGAGGGAGGTGAGAGTTGGGGCTGGAAGCTCAGTACCCATGGGAGATCTGCCTTCCTTTTCTTGGAAAGGGTCACCTGGAGGCTTCTCAGCCCCACCCTCACCCTCTGGCCAGGATCCTACAAGGCTATATATCCCCTGCTGCTTTGTTGACCCCGTCATACCCAGGGTCACTGGTCAGCTCTAATTATAGCTATGAAGTGCGACCTGCCTCTTAGGTATTCTGTTTGCCTCAATCTGAGGTCAGCTGGATGTCTGATGTCTTCCTGTGTTTTCCCTCACTGTCTCCCCCAGCCTCCTGCTCTCACGCTCACATCATCCTCCCAAGCTGCCTTTTCTTCCAAGTCTCACCTTTGCGCCCAGCAGAGAGCTCTGCTTGACTTTTGGTGCACTGCTCACTCCCCAGCTCCGCTGGCCCAAGTCTGAGCCCTGGGCCCTGGTTTTGAGGGGCCAGTCAGGGTTGGATGTGACTACCCCTAAAGAACAAGGCTAACCTTTGAGGATCGCTGACCCTTTGGCTGTTGGCCAGACTTTGAGTTGGCTCCTTTGTCCGGGCAGGGATGACTGACATGGGTTGGGACAGTCAGCGTCACTTCCTTATCTAGGATCTCTCAGAGGCTATCCCCCCCCAAGACAGGCAGGGAAATTCTAATTTCTCTTTTAAGAAAGTAAATTTCCAATTCACCAGCAATAACAATCAGAGGAGACTTGGCCCTCAGTCCTTATATTTCTCTTTTTCACTCCCTCTTCCAGCCCCAAGATGGAATTTTGGGGACTGGGTGGAGAGGGTTGGTAACTACTGTGAGCAAGTCCCCCAACCCCTGACCAGCCTCCTCCATGACTGGTGACTGTTTAGCGAGCTGTGCACCCCCCCAAAAAAGCAGGAGTGCCCTCCAACCCTCGGCATAGCTCCTTCGGGGTGGTCCTCAATGGGTTTTTGACCTTGATTGGAGGCCACTCTGGCAAGCACTGCCCATTCCTCTAATCCCTCACCGTACCTGCACCAGGCCCTGGCCCACAGGGACTGGGAGAAGGAATTAACACAAAACAAAACAGAGATGGGGGGGGGGAGAGAAAAAAATATGAACAGCTTTGGAATGTCCAACCACAAAATAAATTATATATAAATGTATAAATATATAAATATATATATCTACCATATGTGATGGAAAGACTTTTCATTTTCCCAAAGAAATAAAATGGAGAAAGCCTCTTAAATGGCATTCTGTGGCCAGCTTGTATTTTTGCAAGTATGGGAGGTAAGGTTTGGGGGTGTAGGCAAAGCTGGAACAAACATTCTCCAGAGGACTCATTGTGCTGTGCAAGGAGATTGGCTCAAAGCTTAAGTCTTCCATATCTGCATGCTCTGGCTTTGATTACGAGACCCTGCCTCACTGAATAATATGGAATATTGCATGATATTTTGATTGTGTTCTGACAAAGCTTGCTTGGAGTCAGAGGGCAGAGCTAGCCACTAGTTGACCATAGAGGTTTGGAGAACTGTAGACAGACAAGACGGGGCTGAGGGGGATCTCAGTCCTTTGGACTGTAGAGTCAAAGATGCAGGAAGCAACTGGTGGCTGCTCCCAGTGCTCTGATCTTTCAGGTTCTTACCCCAATATTTGACCCAATTTTTTTAATTGATAAGCTAATAAGGATGATTCCCAGCATCCCAGGAGTCGTGGTTCTACCTTTCCTACCAATGGGCGGGGGCGGGGGCGGGGGGAGGCAACGACTTCCTCTTCAGCTCAGGCTGTTAGCAGTGTTACCAGCTGGCTCTAGGTTAGGAGCTGTGCGCTGGGCTGCTGTCCCGAAAGCAGGAGATGCAGGATAGCTAAATACCGCCCGCAGCCACTTAAAACACCTCACAGTGAGTACCATAGAATCACAGAATCAGTTTCCAGTTAATGGTAAAAAGACCCATATATGCTGTAAGAGGTGACCTGTCCTTTATGGTAGTTCCTTCAGTCTTCCCAAAGCCTCACAGTAAAAAATTAGTTTTCTGTAAACATCACAACTAGATTTACATTTCCTGGAACTCACTCTTTAGACCAGTCTAGCCTCGAACTCAGAGATCTGCATTCCTCAACCTCCCAAACGCTGGGATTAAAGGCATGCACCACCACTGCCTGGCCTAGATTTATACTTATAAAGAGTGGCTTATTTTTCCCTTTACCCCATACCTCTAGATATAGGTGTCACAGACACCTCCTTGTGGAGATACAGCAATGATTCTCCACCTGTGGGTCGTGACCTCTTGGGGTCAAACATAGAGTGACATATCAGATTTTTACATTAAGATTCATACCAGCAAAATTACAGTTATGAACTATCAACAAATATACTTTTATGGTGGGGTCCCCACAACATGAGGAGCTAGTAAAGGGTCAGTGTTAAGAAGATTGAGAATCACTCCTCCAGAGTCCAGATTTTTCATCCTCCCACTAATCCTACCTTGTTTCCTCTGCCACAGAGTGGCATAGTTCTCTGATGAGTTTGGTTTGTACCACTTTATCGTGATATAAAAGGTTTTTGGAGCCAAGCGGTGGTGGCGCACACCTCTGATCCCAGCACTTGGGAGGCAGAGGCCAGTGGATCTCTGTGAGTTCAATGCTAGCCTAGTCTACAGAGCTAGTTCCAGGACAACCAGGGCTATTTGTTACACAGAGAAACCCTAGAAGTGGGGATTGAAGTTTTTCTGAGGCTAAATGTGATGGCACAGGCCTTTAATCACAGCACTCAGGAGACAGAGGTAGGCAGATCTCTGAGTTGGCAGCCAGCCTGGTCTACACAGTAAGTTCCAGAACAGCTGGGGCTATATAGTGAGACCCTGTCTCAAGAACAAACAAAGAAAGAAAGAAAGAAAGAAAGGAAAAAGAAAGTGCCTGCTATACATGAGAACCTGAGTTTGCGTTTCCAGCACCCACATAAAAGCAAGCCCTGAGGCCCCGTCTCTGTCTAACCACAGCACAGGGGCCACCAGAATACAGGTGGGTCCCTGGAGTTCATGGCTAGTCTGTATTGCTGAATCTGAAGCCACGAGCTCCAGTTTTAGTGAAAAACACGACCTCAAAAAAGTGAGATGGAAAGTGATTGAGAAAGACACCTGATGTTGCCCACTGGCCTACACAGACACACACACCAAGAAAAGGTCCCAGAACCATGCCATAGCTCTTCCCTTCCAGTCCTGTTGGCTAGAGATGGGCCAGAAGCTCCTCGCACTTCAGAGGAGACTAGGAAACAGTACTTGGCAAAGAGAACCTGGACTATGGTGGCTGCCCAGGAGCAATCAAGATTTTGCCCCTGGGTGTGGGATTTCTCCCCCTGGGTTTGCAGGTGGGTTGTAATCAGGTAAGAGAAAGAGAAAGGAAAGGACACGGCTGCTCCTAGGCATGGTAGAGAAGTTTCCTGTCGATAAAAAGGAGACACAGTCAGACACAGGGACTTCTGGGAGAGTCCAGAGTGGACATAACCCTGAGCCATGTGATGAGAGGGGGAAGGGAGAGGGAACCATGTGCAGCAGCCAAGAGGCCTAAAAGAGAGCAGACAAAAAGGGGCCAGGTAACCAAAGTGGTTGATTTTATATATATAGGGAAAGGTAGGTGGGGGAAGAGCAGCCCAGCTGCTGGGTTGGAGAAGTTTAGGGTAGGGGTTGAGGTACGGGCTGAGGGATGCTGGGAGAACCTGGCGGCTAGGCACCTCAGCTATTTGTCCCTGACCAGTATAAACCCTGTTACCAATGGTCTAGGGGCACAATGTTCACACCCAGGCAAACTGCCTTTCATAGAACTCAGAAGCTTGGATGCTGGGCTAGAACTTCTTTGTCACCACCTCTTACATTATCCTGTCTCCGCACCAGTGCCCTGGAGGAGTATGAGGTCTCCATTCTCTTCCACAGCTTTTCAAATAGATGGTAGCCTGGGACAGGGCCTTCTTACTACAAAGGGCTTGAGAGAATCTTCCAGCCTAGGTGGGAGGCCCTCCTAAGCGGGGTACAAGACCATCCTGACTTACCCTCCTCCAGTTTCAGCGTCTTGCATCCATTTTTCTTTTAAAGGCTTTTCTACATAGGGTTTCTCTGTATAACAGCTCTGGCTGTGCTGGAATGTGCTTTGTAGATCACACTGGCATCGAACTCAGAGATCTGCCTGCCTCTGCCTCCCGAGTGCTGGGATTAAAGTCGTGCGCCACCATGTCCGACTTGTATCCACTTTTCTGTATCATTTATTTATTTATTGGCAAGATCTCGCTACATAGCCATGGCTATCCTGGAACCCACTATGTAGATCAGGCTGACTTCCAATTCAAGAAAATTTGCCTAAACCGGGCGGTAGTGGCGCCCGCCTTTAATCCCAGCATTCGGATCTCTGAGTTCGAGGCCAGCCTGGTCTACAAAAGCTAGTTCCAGGACAGGCTCCAAAAAACCTAGAGCAAAACCCTGTCTCGAAAAACAAAACAAAAAAGAAAAAGAAAATTTGCCCGTCTCTGCCCCCTGAGCGCTAGGATTAAAGGCGTAATATGCCCAGTTCCCAGTTTCTTTTGCCCATTTTTCATCTACCCATTGCTAGTTCCTCTTCTGAAAACATAAGCATTTTCACTATTGGAAATGCATCATTATCTTCATTCTATAGATGACAAACAAGGCTTTAAAAGTTAATGTGATTTTCCAAAATCATAAAATCTTGATGGTATCCTAGGATTCGAACCTGTGCACAGCTGCTCAATTGCTACCAAAGTGATCCATCCAGCGTACTATTTTACCCTCTGCTCGTTCTGGGCATCCTCTTTACGTCTGACGCTAGAAAATGCCAGTGGAAAACGCTGTCTGGAGTTTTTTGAGCCTCGGCGGCTCCGGCTCCGAGACTGACGCAGGCGGAAGTAGACGGCCGCTGGCCCGGAAGTGGGCTGTGGAGCGGTTGCTGCTGGAGGGCTGTGTGTGTTGACTTACCTTTTGCGGCCCGGGACTGGAGCTGGGGCGCTACCTTTGCGGTTGTCAGGTGAGTGGGCGGCCGGAGAGGACGTGCTGCCTGCGTTCTGGCCCCGCCGACCAGTTCTCCCGGGCCTGCTCCGCCGAGGCAGTGCTTCCAAGCCGGCGACCCGGGCGCCACCCGAGAGCCCCTCGATATCTGGGCCACCTTCGCCTCTCCAAACTGCTGTGACTGAGGGCAAAAGACTTCTTTGAAAGCTGCTTTTGAGCCCTTGTGAAGTGGAGATCGTGACTGTTTGTACCTCACAGGACTGTTAAACATTCTGCTCGGTCCCACTCCACATCCTAGCGTCCACGCGAAGCCCTTAGAAAGTAACTTAGCCGGTTTTGGGTGGGTCCCGAGAGCAGGTCTTTCTTTCTTCTCCCCCCGCCCCCCAGATTTTCGAGACAGGGTTTCTCTGTGTAGCCCAGGCTGTCATGGAACTCACTGTGTAGACCAAGCTGGCCTCGAACTGAGAGATCCGTCTGCCTCTGCCTCCCGAGTGCTGGAATTAAAGGCGTGTGCCACCATCGGCCGAGTCGGTGTTTCTTAACCAGTTTCTCGCCAGAAAGCATCTTGGGACGGGGTGAGGCAGTGAAACATACCTTCATTTTCTAGCACTTTCTGGTCGTACAAGCCCAAGTCGAGGTAATAGCGTTTGTCTCCTCTCTCTCCCAGGAACAGGAAATTACTGCCCCTTTTCTGTTCAAATCATGACATCTCTTTGCTCTAACTCAAGGAAGGAACTCTGCATAGGAGCCTTTCTACTTGATACATTTATGAGTCTTCTTGGGGGCTTCCTTGCTCACTCAGTGTAGACATCTGGGCTTTGCTTCATCCTGTGGAGCGCCTATCTAGGAATTTTAATGTAAAAAAGAATTGGTATTTTGTGTTCATGTTTTCTGTACTTTGCCCACACTGTGAGTACTCAAAACAGCAGCTTTCTAGCACTAGGTTCTTAGGCCTACTGCCCTCAGTTGCCACAGGCTAGCCCTAGGTGATTTAGTCCTGCTTGGTAGACCAAAATAAAATCTCAAGACTACCACTTGCTTCATTTAGCTGAGAAAGCTGGGTCACTTTTGGCAGTTGTGCAGGGCTGCTGTGTCTGTATGTCTACCATACTTAGTGGTTTATTGTTTTCTGGTCCCCAATGAAGCCTTGGCATTCATCGTGTGAATAGATCAACTTAAGGTTTTTTCTTTATTTTTGTTTTCTGTGTCTGGGCGTTTTGCCTTTCTGTGCACCATGTGTCTGGCTGGAGGAGGCCAGAAGAGGATGTCAGATCTCCTGGGGCTTGAATTGTAGTTGGTTGTGAGCCAAAGTGTGGGCTGAGAGAGCAGCCAGTGCTCTTAAACATTGGGCCGTCTTTCTGACCAGTAAGTCAACTTTTATATAAAAGAATTCTGGCTTGGCATGGTAGTGCACATCTTTAATTCCAGCACTCAGGAAATGAAGGAGGCACATCTGTGAGTTTGAGGCCATACAGGGCTATAGGAAGATTGTGCTCTCTCAACCCCTCTAAGAAAAACAAAAACAAAAACGGAAATCTGAAGTTTCTTATTTTTGAAACCTTAAAATTGGAAAAACAGGTGAAAAACTAAAACAACAATAAAAACCCAGGTGTTTGGTTGTATGTGACTGGAATTGTTGTTGAGAATTTTCTCTCTTGCCTGTTTGGGTCTTTCTATTTATTTTTACCTGCTCTTTAGCCATCCTCTAAAGTGGAGGGAAGGGCATGGAGGCGTGTGCCTATAATCCTGTCACTGGAGTGCAAGGCCTGCCTCTGCTGGCTACTGTTAGGTCTCAAAATCAAGCTAAATGACTGACTGAGGTGCAAATTTAACATATCAAAGTGGACCTGGCTGCCAGGTCCTCCCAGCATCCCTCAGTACACAGAGTCATCCTGGCTGCCATACCCTGCTCCTACCCTAAACTCCCAGCTTCTCTGATTTCTACATAACCTCAGCTATCTTGACTACCTACCCTTTCACTAAGGGTCCTTTTTCCTCTTGGCTGCTACTCTTAGTTCCCACACTCCTGGCCTCTTGACTTCTGCCTCTCCCCGCCCACCTGTCCCACATGGCCCTGTTCTATCTGTCAGCCATGTTCACTCTGGACTTCCGGGTGCCTCTCCTTATGCTCTCTTTCATGTTTACAATAAACCTCAACCCATACCTAGGAGCAGGCATGTCTTCACCACCCCCAGCATTCAGCTGCAGAGTTGAGACCATTCTAGGATACATGAGACCCTGTCTTTTTGTTGTTGCTTGTTTGTTTGTTTAAGACATGGTTTCTTTGCGACACCTTTTCTTTGGGTAGCTCTGGTGGTTCAGGGACTCCCTCCATAGATCAGGCTGGCCCCAAACTCAAGGAGATCACCTTCCTCTGTCTCTTGAGTGCTGGGACTAAAGGCATATGCCACCACCGCCCAACTGAGACCCTGTCTTAAAGACGGATGGTTTGTGCTAGATTTGGACTCCCCTCCCCCCAGCTTTGATTTTCTTTTGGCTTGGTTCGTAGACCCTTCCCTTGACCTCTGCAGTTTGCAGTGTGCCTTAACCTTCCTAGGCTACTGGTACATGGGAGCAGAAGGGAAGAAACAACCTAGTTAACATCTCACTGACAGCTCAGGGTCATTACTGTCAGTTTACAAGCCTTTGTGGCTTTAAATTTTGGTAAACTCCCATCAGGAGACTTTAGCCCCTAGAAAAAGTTAGGAGCTAAGGCTGTAGTAAGCCTAGCATTGATGAGGCCTTAAGTTTGATTACTAACACTGCAAAAGAGAAAAGACAGTATGAGAATGAAATGGTAATTTGTATATACTAAATGTGTCATACGCTTAATTGACTTACAGTTACCATGGCTGCCCTTTTCTGCCCGGTTCCCTTTTTCTAACTTCCGGACTGTGGTTTAAGATGGCCTTGCTGAGGCATGTATCTGGAAGATAAAAAGGTAAGACTTCTGGCTTCTGTGTTATCGCATCGTCTGGGTGGTCGAGCAGTGCCTTTTGGAGATGCCAACACCGTGAAGCTGTGCTGTGGTCTATTAGCGGCCCTAAGGAGGAGATAGAGAGGAGGATATATTTAGAACACTGAAACTAGGCAGGGAGCTTAGTGCAGTGACGTCAGGTTGGAGCCTTTAATTAGGAGCCAGGAATTAGTTAATTAATTGATTTTCAGCTTTCTCGTTTGTGCTCTGGGAAACCTCGGGGAAAGAAAAGTTAACTGACTCCCTCAGCCTGTTTTCTCTACCTAGCAGCAATCTCCTTTGCAATGCTCTTCTTCCCTGCCCTCTTACTCTGCCTCTTCTCTTCTTCCCTACTTTTTTCTTCTCTTAAAGACAGGCAATCTTGCTGTATAACCCTGTCTAGCTGGGAGCTTGCTGTATAGACCGGGCTGGCCTCAAAACCACAGAGCTTTACCTTGCCTTCTAAATACTGGGATTAAAGTTGTGCACCACTAGACTTGGCTTGTCGTTGTTTTTGGTTTCTCTGTATAACAGCCCTGGCTTTCCTGGATCTCACTCTGTAGACCAGGCTGACCTTGAATTCACACAGGTGTGCGAGCTTTTGCCTCCCAAGTTCTGGGATTAAAGACCTGCACCACCACGCCTAGTTAGACTTGGCTTCTGTTTTTGAGACAGGGTCACATGTATTCTAGCCTGGCTTCAAACTCAGTGTATAGTTAAGGATGACCGTGACTCCTGCTTTCACCTCCAGGTGCTAGGGTTACAGGCGTGCACCACCACACCTCTAACATACGTATTTTGTAAGTTTAACTTTTGTTGAAGTTGTGCTTGTTTGTGATTTAAATAGTTCAATAGAACTTGTGACACTGTCAGTTCTTTCCAGTTTCTTCCCCCACTTTTGTTCCCCAAAATCGTTTTCAACAGTCTGTTCCTTTTGGTATTTGTTGGTTTCTTTTTCTTTGAGGTTTGATTTAGTATTTTAGCATCATGATTAAGAGAAGTCTTAGAGCAGCTGCTTTCATATGCATTTGTATAGCGTTTCCTTCCTCTCTTCCTTCCAGCTTTTTTTTTTTTTTTTGGTTTTTCGAGACAGGGTTTCTCTGTGGTTTTGGAGCCTGTCCTGGACCTAGCTCTTGTAGACCAGGCTGGTCTCGAACTCACAGAGATCCGCCTGCCTCTGCCTCCCGAGTGCTGGGATTAAAGGCGTGCGCCACCACCGCCTGGCTTCCTTCCAGCTTTTATGTGGCACTGGGTAGTGAACGCAGGGCTTCTGTATGGCAGGCAACGAACAATTACTGAGCTACACCCACGGGCTCTTTTTATTGTTTTTGGTTTTAGATTTATTTTATGTGTATGAGTGTTTTGCCTAAATGAATGTATATGCACTACATGCTCTCCTGGTACCCACAGAAGTTAGAAGAGGGCATCAGACCTTCTGGAACTGGAGTTATAGGTGGTTGTCAGCCACTTTGATGGTACTGGGAGTTGAACCCTGGTCCTCCAAAAGAGCAGCAAGTGCTTTTAACAGTGTTGTTGATTTGAGACTGGACTCACTCACTATGTTGCCCAGGTAGAATTTTGTATCTCTTCTCAGCATCCTGAGTACCTGAGGTATGAGCCATCATATAGCTAGTGTTGCTCACTCTCCATCTCTCTCTCTGTTTTGATTTTAAACAAAGACTCTTAATTTTATTTTACTTCTATTTATGTATATATGTGTGAGTAAGTGCCATGTGTACGTGTGTGCCTGCCAAGGCCAGCAAGCGCATCCCTCCCTTACGGATGTTTCTGAGCTGAACTCAGATCCTCTGGAAAAGCAGAAAGTTTTCGTAATCATGGAGCCATCTATCCAGACCCCTCCCTCCTTTTTTTTTAAATATTTATTTATAAATATTTATAAATGTATGTATTTATTTATTTATTTATGTGAGCCACCATGTGGTTGCTGGGAATTGAACTCAGGACCTTTGGAAGAGCAGGCAATGCTCTTAACCACTGAGCCATCTCTCCAGCCCCTGCTTCAAACTCTTTAAGTGCTGGGGTTATATGCAGACTACAGCTGTAATGTATACCTGGCAATAATTTCTGTTAGTGTTCTTACTGGCTTATTTTTCTGTCAGTCTGTCCATCCCTAGATTATCCATTAGATGTTCCTTTCCCAAATACTGCCCATGCCCATCCATCTCTTGCAGCATGCACTGCTTGCGCTTTTTGTCTGGTCACAGTTCTTGTCCTGGGATCTTTCCTCTGTTTTTACTATGAGTTTTCTCTTTTTTTCTCTCCTGTGTTGAGCTCTTAAATATTTTTGTTTATCCGTTTGTTAATTTGGAAAGTCTGTTTAGTTTAGACTAGCCTTGAACATGTGTCAGTCCTGCCTGGGGTTACAGGTATGTGTAGGTATGTGCCACCTCACTGAATTTAAAACTAAAACTCTCCCTCCTGAGACAGGGTCTTACTGCATAGCCCTGGCCTAGAACTTGCTGTGTGGATTAGGCTGGCTTCAAATTCAGATTAATGTACATCCTTTTTTTTTTTTTTTTGTGACAGGGTTTCTCTGTAACTTTGAAGGCTGTCTAGGAGCTTCCTCTGTAGACCAGGCTGGCCTTGAACTCACAGGATCTGCCTGCCTCTGCCTCCCAAGTGCTGGGATTAAAGTACCACCACCCGGGCGCATTTCAAAACTTAACTCTTTTTAAATTTTCCTTTAAATTTATTTTATGTTACATGTATAAATGTTTTGCCTGCATGTATGTTTATGGACCATGCACATGCCTGGCGTCCTTAATGTTCAGAAAAGGGTATCAGATCGTCTGGAACTGGACTCACTGGAACCGAGACACCATTGTGGGTGCTGGGAAATGAACTAGGGTCCTATGCAAGAGCAAGTGTTCTTAAACACTGAGCCAACTTTCTTAAAACTGTTTATTTATTTATTTATTTGATGTGTGTGTATATATGTGCTTTGTTGTGTTTTGTTTTTGTGAGATAAGGTCTCTCTGTAGCCCTGGCTATCCTGGAATTCACTGTGTACTAACCTTGAACTCAGAGACTTCGTACCTCTGCCTCCCAAGTGCACCTGTTCTTTTTTTTATTTTTTTATTTTTTTTATTTTCGAGACAGTGTTTCTCCGTAACTTTTGGTTCCTGTCCTGGAACTAGCTCTTGTAGCCCAGGCTGGCCTCGAATTTACAGAGATCCGCCTGCCTCTGCCCCCAAGTGCTGGGATTAAAGGCGTGCGCCACCACCGCCCGGTTGTACCTGTTCTTTTCTGTTCTTTTATAGAATTATTTTATTTCATGTGCCCACATGTTTTCCCAGCTTGTATGTTTATGTATCATGTTCATGCAGTGCCCACAGAGCCCAGAGGAGGGCATCAGAGCCCCAGGAACTGGAATTACAGACGGTTGTGAGCCATGTGGGTTCTGGGAATCCCTGGTCTGCAAGACTGCTCTGCTTGAGCAGGTAAACTGCTCTGGAGGAGCAGCCAGAGCTCTCAATCACTGCGCCACTGCACTCTCCAGTCCCTCGGCCCCTAGACCTCTTCATGTTTCCGTCTCAAATATCTCCTGCCAACTTTCAGGTCTTTTATTGTACTCTTTCTTTGATTGTAGAATGTTCTGCAAAATCCATTCTTTCATATAGTTGTCAGTTCTTTTGTCTTCTCTTTATTCTTTTTATAAGTAGGGTGAACTGTAGTGATAACTGGAACGCGAGGATGTGATAGGCAGGAGATGCCCTTGAGCTGACCCAGTGACTCTAACTCCTGGCATCTGGAAATCTGGAGAGTCGCTTCTTCAGCCCTGCCCCCAAATCTGGACCTCTGCTTTCTAAATTGTATTGCGGTCTCTGTATTCTAGTAGTGTGGCCTTTGGAGTCTGAGAGCAAGCTCTACTCAGTCCTTTGGCTCTGTACCATATGAAAGATTTCTTTTTTTCTTGTGAGAATTTCCTTAATCTTATAAAATCTCTTACTTATAAATAATATGGAAATAATAAACCTACCTTATTGTTAGAATGAGAACTAAGCAGAATGTGGTGGTACACGCCTTTAATTCCAGGACTAGGAAGGCAGAGGTAGGTAGATCTCTCCCAAGTTCCAGACCTGCCAGGACTGCGTCATGAGATCCTGTCTCAGAAAGTTAAAGGGGAGGTGGGGGGTTGATGCATATCAAATAGTTCATTTAGGACTCTAAGCCTTGAAGGGAGACTAACCATAGGAGAGGAGGAAACTAGAGAGGATAATGGTGGGGAGAACGACAGATTGTATGTTGTCTCGTGCAGAATCTAGACTATCCATGAAAGCAGGATGTTTGGGAGATGGCTCGGTGAGTAAAGTGCTTGACCCACAAGCCTGAGGGCCCGAGTTTGGATCCCCAGAACCTTCATAATAATAATGAAAAGAAAAAAAGCTGGATATGAAGTGTCACGTGCCTGTAGTCCTAGCCTTCTTGGGAGGCGGAGGCTGGAGCATACCCTGGGCTCACTGACCAGTCTAGCCAGTTGTGACCCTCAGATTCAGTGACAGATCCTGTCTCAAAAATAAAGTGTTGAGCCATGGAGGAAGACACCAGATTGAGCTCATCTCCACATGTGTACAACACATACAAGACGAATGGGGACAAGACAATATAGTGGCGGGGGTATGTGTGAATATGAACAGTATGTAATGATGTACAAAAACGGACATGTCATAAATAAAACCTTTTATTTCGGTCATCGAAATGGTTAAAGGCACTTTTTACCAATCCTGGCAATCTGAGTTTAATCCATAGGATCTTCATGGCAGAAGGAAACTGACTCCTACAAGTTGTCTTGTGATCTTCACACATGTGCCATGGTATGTGTGTCTCCACATACACAAACACACATTAAGTAAAAAATTGTAAAATAATTATGTTTTAAAATTTTAAAAACCTATTGTTTATTAACACAAATTTTAATTAGGACAAGGAAAAAAAGATAGCATTGGTACAGAAGAGACCCTAAA